GATGCTCCCACATGCGCTAAGCCAGGCCCCCACTCTGTGCATTTGTTTACTCTGGTGACTAGTTGAGGGCACGCATTTATTAGACTTATTCATTATAAATTTAAAATTACAGTAATACATGTAGAAAATTTCTGTGAAATTAAGCTTTTCATACGTAATTTTAATTACACAAACACGTCTAATAAGTAAAAACAGGTAAACGATTTTGTCAATTTTTTAACATATGCATTTGGAAAACATACTTTATGACAGACTTTCAGCTTTAACAGATATCCCCTCCACCGAATTAGTCCGTTATATGGACGTTTTACAGCTGAGAAGGGTTGGAATTGTAGGCCTTGGGCACTTGATAGGCAGTGAGCCACAGGCACAGGATCGAAGGGCAGGGTCTGGGGCCAAACACATGAATCCCCTTGTGATGGACCACCCCACCCCTCACCCTTCTCAGAAAGCAACATTTTTTGGGGGAAATTATCAGTGGGAAACATGTATGTATGCTAAGGCTTGCAATTAAAAAACCATGCCGAGAAGCCGCCTGAATAATGTGAAACTAAAAATGCCTCGTGGGTCCTCTGGTGTCCCATACACAACCCAGGACGAGAGATCTGGGGAGTTGCACTTACCTCCTAAATCTCAGGGCAGTAAAACTCGCTGAGTGACCGGGAAAGCTGGTTCTCCTAGGCACCTGGGATCTGCATTTCTAGTCTTCAGTCAAGACTCCCTCCTCCTACTTCATTTCCTGACTAAACCTCCCGTGAGGAAGAAAATGTCACTGGGCCATCATCCACAAGACCCTATGTTTCTCAATACCTAAACTACAGCACGATTTGCTTGCTTACAGGAAAGGATTCCCCAAGTGCAAAGACCCCGGTGTCCCGAGCACAAAAACCAACATGGTGGTGGGGCAGCATGTGCGTCAGGGCCGTGCGCTAAAGGGCCGCGTGCCTAAAAGTACTTAATCCTACACCACCGCCTATAAACATAGAAGGCTCCTGCCAGAGTTGGGGAGATGTGATTAGCAGGTTATTTCCCTGGGTAAACTTCCTAAAGGTGTAATTTTTCGGGTAAGGGTAGGAACTCTCAAAACTTCTAACAACTAAGGCCAATTCTCCCCGCCCCCAAAAGCTGTACTGGCTTAATACTCCCCTCAGCTTTAGCTGCAGTTCGTGCACTCTTGCCTGTGCTGTTATCTATACAAATCCTCTACACCAGTTCACAGACAGGGGTATGGGCAGACCCAGGGCCAGACCAGAGGCTCAGGAACACAGCTCTACCACTTAGTTGATAAAGATCACACAGTAAGTGACTAACCTCTCCAGGCCCGTTTCCTCGTCTATAAAATAGGTATAAAAAAGTGTCTCTGCCACACACTTGAGTAAGGAACAAATATACATATAAAAGCACTAAGAATGTGAAGGAAAACCCCTATTCTGTAAAACTACTGTTTGGAATTCTCTGCTATTCTCTGGACGGCCTCTACCTTATTCTGAAAAACTTGCTTTCTAGCCTACTTGAATAATGGGGGAGATAAACTTAGCTATCTGACCTTGTAGGCCAGAGACTAGATACACCCAATGCCATGCCAGGTGCATTTTTTAATTGATAGAACTGTGTAGTTTTCAAGGCCGCTGCCAGCAAGTACACAAAGGTCTGGCTCTTCTATAAAAAGGGAAGTTCTGCTTGTAGCTTTGCTTAGAATTTGGATTCATTTCCCTAAGCCCGCCGTGGTGAATAAAGTGCAACTCCAAACTCTCAGAGCGCTGTTTGGTTCTTGTCTGGTTTTTCTGTAACAAGAACAACATTACACTTGGAAAGCACTATTGTTTTCATTGAAAATTTTAGTTACTATTAAAGATGAACTTTTTTCATTGGTCATTAGTATTTGTTTTTTGGTGAACTGAGGTTTTTAGTTATTATATCCTTCCCCTTTTCCTATTTGACTGAGATAATCACCTATATTTTCCTCCTAATTCCCTACATGTATACTCTTTAACCAATTTGGAATTTATGTTGGTGTATGGGGTAGAGAATTCTGCCCCTTCTCCAAATGGACATACACTACTAATAAAACAATTAATTATTAAATAGTCCACCTTCTTTTTAATACTTCTGATACCAGGTGTATGGATTTTCCACATCAACCACAGAATAGCAGCTGGTGTCCTATAATTTTTACACCAACTAGAGTTAGCTCAGTCCCACAGATTGCTCCCCCACCCCCACTCTAGATGCCAATTCTAAGTCTAGGTTGTCACCGGTACTTCTGATTGACTAGCTATGCAGGGTTCCTATAACCCCCTTCTTGGGTCAACTGCTTGCTAGAATGGCTCAGAGAATTCAGGTAACCACTTAACACTGACCATTTTATTCTATAATAAAGGCTATGATAAAGGATACAGATGAATAGCCGTATAAAGAGATAACATGGGTTCAGTGTGGAAGAGTCTCGAGTGCAGGAGTTCCTGTCGCTGTGAGTTAGGGTACACCACCCTCCTGACATGTGGATGTTCACCAGCCTGGAAGCTCTCAAACCCCTTGAATTGTTCGTTTGTTTTGAATGTTTTTATTGCTTTGTTAGAGAGTAAGGGATAGAGGTAGAAACATCGATGAGAAATATCATCCATCAGCTGCCTCCTGCATGCCTAGGTACTGATCCCACAGCCCAGGCACGTGGCCTGATCTGAATCCAACCAGTGACCTCTTGGTTAATGGGTCAATGCTCAACCACTGCGCCATACCAACCTGGCAATATTGGTATTTTTATGACAGCTTCACCGTGTAGGCATAATCAATCATTATCTCAGTCTCCAGTCCCTCTCCCCTTCCTGGAGGATTGGGGTTGAGACGTAAAGTTCCAAGCTTTTAATGATGGTTGGGTCTTTTTGGTGACCAGCTCCCAATCTAAAGCTATTCAGGAGCCTGACAAGTCACCTCACTACTATCACCCAGGAAGATTCCCAGGGATTCAGGAGCGCTATATCAGAAACAGGTCAAATACAAGAACCAGAACAAAAGATGCTCCTATGCTCTGAACACTCAGGAAATTATAAGTTTTAGGAGCTCTGTGCCAGGAACCTACTTTAAAAAAAAAATGATCATAAAAGAGATTTTGTTTTGTCTCTTAGAACAGCTACTAGGCTAGCTGGCAGAGCCAGGGTAGTGTGCTTCATGCTTCCAGTAATGTTCTTGAAAGGCCAAGGAAATCAATGGTAAATTGTGCGCATGAATGCAGAAGCCTGGAGTCCAGGTGCACAAAGGGGAGTGGGGGCTGCTCCCTTCTCGTGATACTTCCTGCCCTCCAGTCCCAGTCAAGAGCAAGATAAGGCAACGCTTGCTTATTGGTCATATAGGACAGCTGCCAACTGCCTAGGCTCAAGGGAGACAGGAGGGGTGTCTGGCTGTAGAAGGCTCAGGCAGGGCAGGGTTTAGCTCCCTAGGAGATTCTCACACAGCAATTTTTATTTCAAAACCAACTTTTGAAATTAGCTTTAACAGGTAAAGAAAATGAGATTTGAATGAGAACGTATTAGGAATCCAATTTAACTTTCTCCTTGCTTTTTTCTATTTCTAGCTCTCTGCCTCAAGATAGTCACAGCTGCCCCAAAAGAAATACCATAGAAAGAGCTTTACACAATTTTTGACAATGTGGGTGGTTTCATATAGCATAAAAACTACACCTGTGTGCTACATCAATAACAATGGAACATTTACTAAGTGCTCATACCAGAATTAGACTAGAAATACCAGCTAGCAACTTAGAAAATATTTCTGATTGGTGACACACTGAATAGAACACTGCCTCTTAATAAAGACAAGAAATTAGTCGAGGTTTTCTGAGATTGCATGAAGATGACATTGCAGCCTTCCCATTCAGTACCTATTCAGACAGAATTCCAACAGGGCTGGTCAGAACCACGGAAGGAGCAAGTGTGGCTGGAGCAAGTCCTAGGATAGTTGCAGAGGCCACTGATGTAAACGGTGGCGCCACCTTTTCTGGAAGGTAAGAATGAGCTATCAAGCTGAGTGCTGTGGCTCCTCATAATACTCTGTGATATATCAAACAATTTTGAAAATGATTTGGGATAAGTACAGCTGCCTTCTACTAATAATTTTACCTTTCTCTGTAGCCACTACCAACTTTGCTGGTTGGGTCATAAAATGGTGTGGACATGTACAGGTTTATAACCTGGTTTAATTAGCATTCTACAGCTGATTTACCTCACCTGTTATATTTTGATTAAAGTTAATATAAGCATATGTTTTGTGTTTTTCCTTGTCATTAATGTCTAGGCATCAGAAAGGAGGCAGGACATGTGATCCATAGGAGAAGATCATCTGGGAATAAAGACTGGTCATCAGTCTAGACCAGCCGTGGGCAAACTATGGCCCGTGGGCCGAATCCGGCCCGTTTGAAATGAATAAAACTAAAAAAAAAAAAAAAAAAAAAAAAAAAAAAAAGACCGTACCCTTTTATGTAATGATGTTTACTTTGAATTTATATTAGTTCACACAAACACTCCATCCATGCTTTTGTTCCGGCCCTCCGGACCAGTTTAAGAACCCATTCTGGCCCTTGAGTCAAAAAGTTTGCCCACTCCTGGTCTAGACCACGAGGGAAATTCTCTTTTCAGTTTACACATTTGAATTAACAACAGCAGGTCACAGGCAAAACAATGAACCACGAAACCAGACTTGACTCCTCGGTCTGTCAGCTCATCGATCTGAACAAGTTTCTTTTTTAGTTCTTGATTTTAATCTGTAAAATGGGTAAAGTATGGACAATACCTACGTATCCAACAAGCCCAAAAACTGTGTGAACAAAAAATAAGATGGAAACATTTACAAAGCATCTTCACAAACTGAAACATACCAACAAATATAAGGAAACATAAAAGGAACAAGCCACAGACCTCAAATATAACACCTACTCAAACACCAGCAGAGATAAATAAAAATCTGTGATGTTAAGGAAGTTAACTTACAAAAGAACAATTTCCCAATTAATATGAAAATGGTTTAATAATTATGAAACTTAAAAACTGTTCAAATTAACAAAGTATATTGATTAAAGGCTATTTTTTTCCAACCATGGCAAATATAATGCAAACATTTATCAATGCACAAAGCTTTTAATCCTCTATTATGTATTCTGAATCCTATTCACTGTTCAATATGACACATGATACAGTCAAAGGTTTCTTTGGCAGACATAACCACATGCATCAATATGTCAATGCTCAAAGCGTTCTCCTCCTTGAACTTACCTGACCAAAGGCATCTGATCAAAAGGCAAAAATGAAAATTTTTAATAAGTAGTTTAGTTTATCAATAAGCCTAGAAGGTAATCAGAAGTACTAAGATAAGTCTTTTCAGAAATTAAGTTAAAACAGTAATAAACTTTACTTTCTATTAAACCAGCAAATATAATCACCTGCATATACTTTTATTAGCAAAAAAAATGATGATACTGATGACAAAGAAAAAAAAATGAAAATGTACCTCAGACCAGAATAACATAAAAGTTTTGTGGAAGCTGCATTTTATTTGAAAATCCACCCATTTTTGCTAACATACATTTTAATATTGTAAACAAAAATAGAATCTGCAAAGACAATGCAACAAGTATGCTTAAACTCATGTACAGAATTGCTTTCCTACAACAAACTTTCCTTCTTAAGGCCCTTCTCAACCCAAATGTTAAGATGTATTTACACAAAGCACCGATCAACAGTGCAGTTTATTTGTTAACTAAACTCTTGGCTAGACATCAACTTTAAAGATATTATTTACCCTTGTTTAAAAGGTACATGATCATAACATGGCATGAGCCAAATAAAAGGTTCAAGGATTTTGTCCCTTTCCCTCCCCCCATAACACCTCCTAGAGTTTTACTGAAAAGAAGGAAAGTCCTGAAGTGAAAGCAATTCCTCACATTCATTTTGGAAAGGCCCTAATGTCAAATGGAAAATAATGACATGCCAAGCACAAAGCAGTAAAGTTCCTTCCCAATGCACTAATGCTGAATTTAATGTAGTGCTTTTCCTAGTCAGTGAACTGTTCCCTTGCAAAATCCTAGGCACAGAGTTGACTATAAGAATTAATGCATTTATAATGCTGTCTTAAATCCCATAGAGACTGAAAATTCTTAAGCGATTCAGACCTATGGACTTGCCTTAAAATATTTAGTGCTCTGTATGTCAGCTGAAAAGCATTCTGAATCAGATTCATTCTTGTGGATAAAAATCAAACATACTGTGTACATCCATACTCATTTTCATAAGGAGGTTTGATACAATATTAATGTTACGTAAATTGATAATCATAAATAAATACAAATACTTAAGGAATGTCTACTGCAAACTGAATATATAATTTTTTTAAAAAAGAAAAATTAACTGTAATTACTGTTTTTGTCAGGATTGGAGAAAAGAAAGATACTGCATAATCGAGAGTTATGATTTTGATCCCCCCAGAGTCCTGTTGCATTACAGTAAAGGACATAGCTCTTCTCTCCGGCAGCTTTTCCAAATACAAATTTTGCACTTTCCAAATGAGGGCTTTTCTTGGTAGGTTACTGATTATGGGTATTAATAGAAGTTGAAAGAACTGAAGGGTTAGTCACCAGAAAGACAGATCTTAGTCTGAAATCATGGCAATTCTTGGCTTTATAAACTGTATTAATACATTCTCCTATAGACTAGTCCCAATTTCCTTCATGGGCCTCCATTGTGTTACTGTAGCATTCTAATGGAAGAAGAGAGTTTAGGAGACAGCAGTTTGGATTTTGCTGCAAGTAAGTATTTGCTGCTTGAGCACTTGTCGTTTTGAAATAGTTCCATTCTCTTCCATCTAGTTACATAAACTGTATCTGGGGGGGGAAAAAAAGCATGTTAAGTTATTAATTCATTGCACTGTAGGACGTCTTCTCACAAATAAAACCGCTTTGTGACTTTTACCATTCAACTGGCTCAGAAGTGTTCATAGCATGCTTATCACAAACTTCAATTATAAAACAGTATTATCAGTTTATCATGTGGCAGAACTCAATATTTGAAGCATAATTATAAATATCTTTTTAATTACTAAAACCAGGGGGTAAAAGAAGGCAAATGAACAATTTTTTCATAAGTTCAGAAAATCTCTCCATGAACATAAATATTCCATGTAAAATCTTTTTTTAGGAAAGCAAAATTTAAAACATTATTTCCAAATGATATCATAAAATTAGAGATAGTTAAAGGAATAGTAATATTATGCTTACTAAATCATTTCTTTACAATATAAATAAAAATACAAAAGATCAACAAGGAAATACTTTTCAATTGGGTGTCACTCTTCACTCAGACCCTTCCCTCATGATATCCATTAAGCTGCTCATCCAGAGAAGTAGAAGTAACAGTAAACTATTATCAAATCAGAAGAGTACAAACTCAAGATCTAGAAGGTATACCTGCACTGTGGGCTATAGCAGCAAGAACAAATTACACTGTCTTCCAGCAAAAGCAGGCAGTGTGGATCAAATGCACAAGCCTTCTATCAAAAACGCCCCAAGGATTCACTTGCCCTTAACAAAAATAAATAAATAATCTGATATAATAAAGAGCTAATATGCTAATTAGACTAGACGGCGGAACGACCTTCTGGAACAACCTTCCAGCACGACCAGTAGGAGAGGCCGCGGGCCTGCGAGGGCCGAGCCCCTTGCATGAATTTTGTGCATTGGGCCTCTAGTACTAATATAAGCTGTGTGTTTCAGTTGGGTTTTTTGGGGGGGTGGAGGGGGAATGTTACTATTTTTAGATGAAAAGGCATACATAAAAATATAGCCCTTTAAAGAAACTGTTAAAATGAATTTTTCACACTAACCCTGGCCATTATGTTAAACCAACGATGCTCCCAATCAAGCTCTGAGCCGATGTGTAAAAACGGTGTTGTTTGTTCTCTATGATTCTATTAAACTGACTAAAACATCCAGTTTTTAAGGGTGGTATTTGTTCTCATCACCTGATGTGAGCAGTGGATGCTTTCCATGTAAACATGAGAAATGGTCTTTTGATTTAATATCTCCTAATTATATTAAAGATATTTTCCAAAAATTATTTGTACCTTCTGTCCTATCTTGATCTATTTTTACTCTTCACCTAAAAAATAGAGGAGGAGGAGGAGGAGGAGGAGGAGGAGGAGGAGGAGGAGGAGGAAGAGAGGGAACCGAGTCCTTTAAAGAACTAAGGAGAAGAGTGAATGGTGCTTCATGTTTGATAAATTTTTTAAGTACTTAAGTCCCCATCTCCCCCAACAAGCAGCAATACCTAAAGTGATTTATAAGAAATCCTCCAAAGAGAGCTCTGCAAAAGGGTCCTTTCCTGAAGCTCTGTGAGGACTGTGACTGGAGGGGCTGGATGCTGCCGACAGCTAGGGGGAAGAAGACAGAGAGAGGGAAAGAAAAAAAGAGCTCAGAATGACAGAACATGAAAGCAGAAAATGTAATGAAAGAAGTGGTTTTTGTTTTGTCAACTTTAAATATAAAGGCAGCCTTGTAGAAAATGAAATTCAAACAAAAATTTCAGTCACATGTCAAGCTAAAGGGCATCCAATGGCATGTGTATTTCAGAAAAATTTTGTTTCTGGAATTCCAAAGGAAGAAAGTCTTTTACCCAAAAAGGTCGATATTAAGCTGACCCATGGTTAAGATTATTATGCTATATGTGCATCAGAGAGGGAAGAAGCACACAATTGTGTTGTTGTTGTTTATAATTGAGGGAAGATGGCTTCCTGTGTCCAGTCTGTCTGCCAAAAGCTGTGCAAACTCTGACCTAGTCCAGACCCAACATATCGAGCTGCAGTATTTTTTCCTTCCTTCTTCACAGGACATGCAAAGTCCTGTCCCCAGTGCTCACATTATTTGCACATAGAGTTGGCTCCTGCCTGATACCTAGACAGGGCGGAGCTGATGTGTACACTCTGGGAGGGGAAAGTGATCTTAGAGGTCACCTAGGCTAACTGCCCAGAATTTAGGAAATTAAAGATTTTTATTCTGCTTCCTGCTTAAATATGTTTGCTTGATTCTTGGAATTTTCTTCTATCATTTAATTTGGATGTATGTTAAGGCAAGTAGACTGTTGAACTCAACAACATCATCTTAGCTATTCCCTCAAAGAAAGACAGTTCCTGAAGAGCCAAGATCTTCATTTTCATACATGTATCTCCTTCACTGAGCCTACATTTAGTGTATTCAAACCAGACATGAGCCATTTTAGTTCAGAACTTGTAACTTTTCCCCTCCCCCTGCATGAGATTGCAGAGTCATGTAAGCACAGAGCAATTATAAAATGAGCTGTCCTTTTTATGGGCGTTCAATTGAGTATTAAATCAAAGTTGATTAAGTAAAAAGTTTCAATTCATACTTCAACGCTCAAATCCTATAAAGGATTTCATGATCCCAAATCTGTCTTTATTGGCTCAAAGTGATCTCATTTCTACCTTTTTATTTTATTTTTTAAAGAAAAACACTATAGAGATTAAATAGCCAATGAGTTTCAGCAAACACTATATCACAAGTATATGCAATGTGCTGTTTTGGATGCCAAGAAATCACTGTCAGTTTTATCAGTGGTTGAGTCATTTTCCTAATTCATACCTTGTTCTCAGAAATAAATGTTCAAAAACAATGGAAAAGATGATGGAATTACACAAGCAGCTACAGATGGGAGGACACGGCAGCATGTCTGGGTTTGGGGATTCAAATATCATTCACACAGAGACAGATTAAGGTACAACTTAATTAGAAAGATGTCTCCTACGCCCCCTTTAGACCAGCCATGGATAACTAATCAGAGACTGGTGATCATCATCACTGAACTGGAGGGAGTCTAAGATTTACTGGATTTTTCTCCAAAACAAATTTTCTCTTTTGTTAAAATAAAAACAAAAACCTTGCTTATTGCAATTAGATAGCATTCAAAGTCACAAGTCTCCTATGACAGCCTCACACTAACATGTCTTCTTAAACCACATGTTTTCATGAGCAGCAGTCCGAAGACCTGAGAAAGCCCCTGAAGAATATGATAAAAGGGAACACTTTTATTCACCTCAATGTATGAGCATACAGGTAGAGAGAATTCCTAGAGACTTACAAATAATGCTGAAGAGGATCAATTTTCCTTGGGAGAAAACATGCTAATTTCTAACTATATACTTCTACTATTTCTTAAATTGGTAAAATAATTAGATGTATGTCTCACACCAATAAATATGTAGCTAAATTAAAACATGAGAAAATAAAACTTAATATTCCTGCAGTAAGTTTCATATCATCAATACCCATCTGAAGCAGGTGGCCCAGACTGGTTAGGCTGACTACAGAGAGCGTCAAGGACAGGGCCATGCAGCAACCCTGGACCATCTGGTACCACTGGTTCCGGCACATGTACCAAAGCATAGGCACACCATGCAAGGTCGAGGGCCTGCCCTGTAGGTTGACTCTAGTGCCTCTGGTTAGCCACTTCCTGAATGTGTGTTCAATAAACCCCATCTTGTGCTTCTGCCCATCAGTAACATCACAGAGTTAGGCCACCATTACTCCTGTCACTCTCAAAGCACTAATCATCTCATCTCAGGAGGCACTGGACCAGGGGTGGGCAAACTTTTTGACTCGAGGGCCACAATGGGTTCTTAAACTGGACCGGAGGGCCGGAACAAAAGCATGGATGGAGTGTTTGTGTGAACTAATATAAATTCAAAGTAAACATCATTACATAAAAGGGTACGGTCTTTTTTTTTTTTAGTTTTATTCATTTCAAACGGGCCATATTTTGCCCACGGCTGCACTGGACAGTGACCTAGGAGCATTTCTCTTTGAAGGTCTGTTGTATCCAAACCTCTCTACAACTGAAGACTGCTGCTAACGTCTATAATAACTTAAAACTGTTAACACAGAGGAATACCCTCGACCTTATACAGTAGAGAAAAACCTGTCTTTTAGCCACACTTCACAGAGACAGGTGAGGAATAGCATTATCTTTAGTATAAGATATTGAAACACCACACTGTATTTTTATATCTCTATGCAAGTGGACTCAGATGCACCACCAGTGGCTTGGCCATGTTCTAAACATTATCAGAAAACAACCTACTATTCCATGATTCAGTTTTACAGCTAATGTCTCTGCAGAATCCTATTAAGTAGAGCCATTATTTCTTTTTATTTTTGCTAATCCTCACTGAGGATATTTTCCATTGAATGTAGAAGGGAGGAGAGACAGAGAGAGAAACATTGATGTGAAAGAGACACATCGATTGGTTGCCTCCCACATGCACCCCGACCAGTGCTGGGGTTGAGCCTGCAACCAAGGTACGTACCCTAGACCAAAATTGAACCCCAGACCTTTCAGTCTGCATGCCGACGCTCTAGTTTGGTTTAAAAAAAAAATCCAAACTGTGTTCCATATATGAGCTTGAGGCTACCTACCTGCTTTCAACTGATTTATATACTGGGCTTCCACTAAAAATGTCAAAGGAGACAGTTCCTTGGTCTTAGACCAGTGGTTCTCAACCTTGGCTGCACATTAGAATCACCTGGGAATCTTTTTAAAATCCTGATTTCTAGGCCTCATCCTCCGGAAATTCTGTTTCTTTCTTATGGGGTGCAGCCAAGGGTGAGAACCACTGTCTTCGACATTTTCAAAAAAGGTTTCTCTCCCCCACAAACAGGCAGTGTCTAAGCTATATTAAGTTGGAGAGAAAAAAATTCTAATTATAAAACAAAGCTTGGTACTTTAGGGTGATACCACTTCTACAAATGTTGAGTCAATTCAGGTGCTCTACTTCTAGAGCGTGATGTGTCTGGCCTGGTCTGGTGGCTTAGTTGGTTGGAGCATCATCCCATACACCAAAAAGATCGTAGGTTTGATTCATGGACAGGGCACACAGCTAGTTCAATCCCCAGTTGGGATGAGTACGGGAATTGATATTTCTCTCTCACATCGATTATTTCTCTTTTTGTCTGTCTGTCCGTTTCCCTTCCCTTCTCTCTAAAAATCAATAAACAATTAAAAAAAAATCCTGCATCTGGTTTCTGTGCAATGTCCACAGTCCTCAGCCCACGTGAATGAGTCAGGCCCTAATGTAGCCCATGACCACCCTATCCTATCTATGTGTTTATCTGATGTCATCAAATAATAATGAGTCATAATTAAGATTTCAAAACTATGATTTATAATCAAAACAACCTGTAATTCATGGAAAGAAATATAAACTGTATTTTAATACGTTAGAATTTGGAAACAGGAACAACTCAGTGAATAGGGATAATTTCTGAAAATAGGGCAACCTTAAAGCATTTGTCTAAAACTAAAAACCTCCTTATAATAAATAATTTTTTTAAAAAACAACAAACCTCGATGTTCCTAAGTCTATTACAAATATTTTCATTTGATCCTTATAGCAAACCTATAAAGTATATAAGGTAAAAATCACGATTTTATGAAGAAACTGAGGTTCATCCAAGTTACATAAGCCACTTGCCCTGAAACACCAAATTAGTTAGGAGCTGGGTTAAGACTGTGTTGAACTGTGTCCCGTACTCAAAAGCTATGCTGAAGTGCTTCCTAACCTTTGGGTACCTATGAATGTGACTCTATTTGGAAATAGGGTCTTTGCAGTTGTAATCAAGCTAAGATGAGGTCGTTAGGTGGTCCTTAATCCAATGACTGGTGTCATTTATAAAAGGAGGAAGTGCCCTGAAAAGACAGAGACAGGGAGGATGCCATGTGACAGAGGCAGAGGTTGAAGTGTTGCAGCTATAAACCAAGGAATAACTGGGGCTACCAAAAGCTGGAAAAGAAAGGATCCTACTTCTAGAGCAGCGGTTCTCAACCTGTGAATCTAAGTCCTAAGGGGTCGCCTAAGACCATCGGAAAACACGTATATAATTACATATTGTTTTGTGATTAATCACTATGCTTTAATTATGTTCAATTTGTAACAATGAAATTGGGGGTCACCACAACATGAGGAACTGTATTAAAGGGTCGCAGCATCAGGAAGGTTGAGAATCACTGTTCTAGAGCATGGCCCTTGTTTTTGGACTTTTAACCTCGCAGAACTTGAAAGAATAAATTTCTATTGTTTTAGGCCAGTGGTCAGGTAACTGCGGCTCCGAGCTACATGCGGCTCTTTGGCCCCTTGAGTGTGGCTCTTCCACATAATACCATGTGCGGGCGCGCATGTACAGTGCGAGTGAAACTTCGTGGCCCATGTGCAAAAGTCGGTATTTTGTGGAAGAACCACACTCAAAGGGCCAAAAAACTGCATGTGGCTCGCGAGCCGCAGTTTGCCGGCCACTGTTTTAGGCCGAGTTTGTGGTACACTTTGTTACAGCATCTCTAGGACACTAATAACAGACCCAAATGCAG